GGAATTCTGGAAGTTCCCTGTCAATGTACTGCTACAACTACCGTTAGATTGTCTTAAGCACAATTTTACTTTTGTGTTATATCAGTGATAGTTTGAGCAGTCTGCTGGATTACCTCTCTTTGGCATGGGCACAAAATGAATCTCTTCCATCAGGTTGCCAAGTAGAAGTCTTCCGAATTTCCTGGCATCGATGAGTGAGTGCCTACAGTACCTCTTCAGCTTTCTGAACCATTTCAGCTCCGGGAAGCTTGTTTTTTGACTAATACACTTAGTGCATCTTCAACTCCTTCCTTCAGTACCATTGGTTCTTGCTCATATACGACCTCCTGAAATAGTGGAATGTTGACTATTTCTGTTTGGTTCAGTGACTCTGTGTATTCATTCCATTTCTCTTCATGCTTCCTGCATCATTCAGTATTGTACTACAGGGTCTTTCAATATTCGCACCTGAGGCTTGAGGTTTTCCTTGAGTTCTTTCAGTTTTAGATATGCTCCACCTGTTCCTCCCTTTTGGTTTTCGAATTCTACGTCCTTGCACATTTTCTTATGTTTGCTTTGTCTTCTGGAGCTACTCTTTGAAACTTTCTATTCGACTCCTTGTCTTCATCCTTTCTTCCATTTGCTTTAGCTACTCTATGATTAAGATCAAGTCTCAGAGTCTCTTCTGGCACCCACTTTGATGTTTTCTTTCTTTCCTGTCTTTCTAATGACCGTTAGCTTTCTTCATGAATGATAGTCTTGATGTCCTCCCACAGCTCATCAGGTCTTCTGTCATTAGTGTTCAATTCATCAAATATTTTCGGGAACTGTAGGTGGGATAGACTCAGGGTCGTATTTTCCCTCTCTTGGACTTCTTTTCATGTTCTTCGGCTTATCCTGCAGTAAGAGCAATTGGTGGTCTGTTACATAATTGGCACCTGGTCTGTTTTTGGCTTCTGGTATGGAGCTTCCCATCTTCTCTTCCCATGGATGTGGTCAATTTTGAATTTCTGTGTATTCTACCTGGGGAAGTCCATGTGTATAGTCATCTTTTGTGTACTTGACAAAAGGTGTATGCTATGAACAAGCCATTGGTTTTGCAAAATTTTATCATGCAATCTGCAGGTTAATTTCTATCACCAAATCCATATTTTCCAACCAGTGTTCCTGCTTCTTTGTTTCCAACTTTTGCAATCCAATCAGAATAACTACCCATACATCTCGATTGCATTTTTGATACATTTCTGAATGAAGTCATTGGTAGAATTCTTCAATTTCTTCATCACTAGCATTTGTGTTTGGTGTATGAATTTGAACAGTAGTTGTATTGATTGGATTTCCTTGAAGGTGGATAGATATAATCCTATCAGCAACAGCATTGAACTTCATGATGGATTTAGCAAGATCCTTTCTGACAACAAATGTCACTCCATTGCACTCGAAGGTGTTACTCCCTGTATAATAAATCATATGATTTTCTTATTCAAAGCAGCCATCCATTTCCTGTGATATGGATCTTCATGTGTTGCAGTCCATTGTTGATGACTTCCAATTTTCTTAAATTCATACATTGGACATTCCAAGTCCCAATCATTAGAAGATTTTTGCAGCTTTTCTCTTTACTTTGAGTCCTGCCCCCACATCAAATGAAGATCCCGAAGGCTTCACTCCCACAGGCTTTAACCAACTCCAAGTTCAACTCATTCCCAAGAAACCAGCTCCTCTTCTGTCACAGTTTGATTGCCCTAGGACTGAGGGGCCTATCCTCCAGCAGTATCTCAGATACTGTTCTGCTTCCTTTGTTTAGACTTCAGTATTTGAAAATGCTGTCAAGCTATGCATGAGGTTTTCAGCAGCTTTCTCCGCCAAAGTGGGGAGCCAAGTCCTTCTTCATTGCCTCTTCTTACTCTGGAAGCTCCGCTTAAACCTGTTCACTTTGGGTGACCCTGCTGGCCTTTGAAATACCAGCGACATAGCTTCCAGCATCACAGTGACACACAGGCAGCACAATACCACAGTACAACAAACTGACAAACAAGTGGTGGATTGAATACAAGATAATTACTACATGATGTTTAGATAATTTATCTTTAGTCCTACTGTGTGTTCGTTGAACTGTGTGCTTACTGAGGGCAGGCACTCTATCTCAATTGCTGCCCCAGCATCTGGTCTTTTGCCTACCATATTAACCATAAACAAACAGACACACTGCCTTCCAGTAGCTTCCAACTACCAGAGATCTTGTAGGACAGAGTAAAATGCTCTTAACAGTTGCAAAGGCTTTGAACCTTAGGGAAGCAGCCTCCCCTATCATTCTCCCTTAGGGATGCTAGTGGACTAATTATTGCACCACCAGACTTCCTTGTCCAGCACACGGCTCTTAGATAAATGCTATTAAAGTAAATATGGCTTAAAATGAACGTGAGTTAGAAACGGTACCAGCATTTCTTTTATTTCCACATGTTGGTCTCTGAATAGCATCATCAGGTTCCTCTAAGCGTTTACCACATCTGGTGAAGCCAACAGGATGCTGTCTAAATTATGTTGTAGACAAGGGGCCAGGCACCACATGGGCCCCAACAGTTTAACTCTTCGGGGTGAGTTTTTAATTTCCCTTTCTTAAAGGAACTCACAGTGACCAGTTTCTGGACCTTTTGGCTGAGGCTAAGCCAGGGGAAAACTATATGCTGGACAAGTGCCTGCACTCAGTTTCGGGAACAAGGCACAGACACCAAGGGCAGTCTA